CTTTTATTTTTACCCTTAGTTTAAAAGACGGTTCTTGCGGTGACTCAAAAATAAATCGTTTCTCTAATAGTTTTCTACTATAACAAACAAGCCTTAACAATCAGAACAGCACACAGAAAAATAAATTAACTCATTGACAATGTTGGCGGAACAAGAACCGCCCTCCCCCACCCTCCATCTCGCGAATGAAAAAAAGAACCCACCGCAACTGTAAATGTATATAGTTATATGTATTTAGAAAAAAAATGTTATGTTTTTTTGTTGGTTTTGTTTTTAGTTTTTTTTTTTTTTGGTACATCGTACTTTTCTTTCAGGAAAATCTATTATCAGTCAATGACAAGATTAATACATGTGTGGGGATGGTCATTCTGCTTGCCTCCTTATCTCCTCACCCAGTCAGTTTTTCAAACTCCCCCATCCCCCCTCACAAAAACTAAGTTATTTTACTAGTCTTAGACCACATCTCACTTTACAAAAAAGGCCCCACCATCTACCTAATGTCGCTATGAATTAAATATAATAAAAATAAATGGAAGTTCATCTAATCAAATAGTGCTGTCCTTAATTTATATTCCTCATACATTAAATTGTCTTAATTTTTTTTCAATGACCTGTTTGATTGTACTTATGTAAATTTATCAATTTTGTAACGACCATGTTTGAGTTAATAAAGTTAAAATTTTGAATAGTTAAACAAAAATAAAACATAAACCATAATGACTGTGGCAGATAGTAAGTACACATGCACAGACTGAATGACACTGATTACATAATGTATATTCTGTTTATGTCTTATCCATTTCACTATCGATTACCTTATCAAGAGCATCACCCATACTATAGGATAGTCTAAACCTTACATCAACCCTAGTAATAATCATCCTGACAGCTATATCAGAATTGTAAATCTGCAACAGTCCTCTCACGTCACATGATAAACACAGTAAATTTACAGTGGACGCCGTGGAACAGGTCTAGGCCGTTGATACATTTACAAATCTCTGACTTAAATTATAAATTTAATATTTTCAATGGGGTGTGTAACCTGAACGATCCACTCGTCATAAAAAAATATATTGTACATAAAAAAGCTACTGCTTTACTGTCTTATATAATACGCGTGTGACCTTATATGTCTGCAATCCCTTACCACAAAAAAAACCCCATTACGTTTAACATAACTCACTCCATTATTTACATCGTCACACCATATTTAAATACAACATCCATAATCATCACTAAAGCCATTACATCATCTTCTACTCCATAACCATTGTAATGTCCCATCCCAACAACATCACACCATCCCCTACAATGCCCTATACCATCAACATTACGCATTGCAATTACTGTCAATAAAGTGACACGTCTATATTTTCTAGTTTGGTTTAGTTATTTATTTAAAGTACTTTGAAAAGTTATGCCCCATGTATAAATTATATCAAAGTAAGGGGATTAATTCATAACAATGATTAGATACGCTTTTGATGATTTATTTAAGAGTAATTTAGAAAAAAAGCAACATAAAATTTAGGTTTTTCTTTAAATAAAAATGTTTAGTGGTATATTTTTGCAGTTTAATACTTTTTATTTAAGTTATAAGTATAATTTATATTTATATACACAGTTATAAAACTTAAATACATATGTTTTATGTTTTGTAGACTAACGACGGTTTGCTTCATATAACGTTGTGTAACTGGTTACTCTTGAGCAATATTTGTCCTGTACTAATATAAATATACAACTTTAATAATGCCTCTAAAACCTACTTTAAAAAGAGCTTATTGAACTTTCAAAATCACATAATAAAGTAGCTACAGTGTTTTAGTGCTATTTAAAAATATCAAATACAAGCATATATGGTTAGAATATTCTTTATTGATAATTATTTTTGTTATAAAATATGTGTTATGGTTAGTGTGAGTTGGCGAAAGCTGAAAAAAAAATGACATATTGACAAGACGAGTGGACATTTTGTAGATAGACAAGAATGGGAAGCTTTAGTTTTAGTGGAATGGTTTAGATGCGCCTTTACCATAAAATGTGTGTATTGAAGTTCTTCCAGCAATCTTGTGGCTATAAGCAAGGAAAATGTGTATGACCACCCATATCGATAGTCTACAGTTAGATTAGATGCGCTTATAAAACGTATAACAATATTTAAGCAATAGATGTAGCGCTAAAGGAAGTAAAGGGATAACGCTCTAGAAAAGGGGTTCTTAAACTATTTGGAGGTAACGAACCCCACCAGTTTGATGTGCGCATTGGCTCAATCTTTCTTGACAGCTATATCGTCTACACTTACAAAATCCGATCGTGGTATTTTTTTCCAGATTGTGATTTATTTTATTATTATTATTTCTTGGTCGTCTTTTGTGAGATAGCTGGTATAGGTCATTCATAAATTCTGAGTGTTTCTGTTATTGTGATGTCGATGTGATAATTTTTTTCTATTACAGTCTGCATTGCTTTTTCTGTTTGTACTAAGAAAGTAGTGTCGTCTGCGCAAGCAAGTATATATTTGAAATACCGCTTCGCTATGTTAAAGAAACCTTTTATATGCAATTTTAATGACGTTTTTTTTTTTTAAAGCAAACACTTGTGTTATTTAATTGGGTAATGAGCTAAACAACACAATATACCCCAATAGGAATGTGTTGGACGTCCAATGTAAAATTAGAAGATATAGACTTTGTAGACGATCTGACTATCAGATACCCATTAACACATTCAGGAAAAGACACGTCATTCAAAAACATTTCTAGTCAAGTAGAACTGAGGGTCACCATGAAAAAATAGAAAAAAAACAGATATCATCTACTGTCAGAACATATACCAAAAGAGTTAGGCTTGGTGAGGCAACGTTAGATATCTGTTTTTATACGGAGAGGCATAGGTAAAAGATTTGTAAACTGCTGTCTGAGGTTATAACCATGTTAGAGTTGTTGGTCAACCCAGATAAAAGCAACCATTCTAAATAAAATTTAAAACAAGCATTTACATTAGATGGTATCTTTTGCTTTTAAAAGTATTGTCAAATACAAATCTAACAATACATGAATTTTAATTTTTCGGGCATCCTTTCCTTTAAAACAATTATTAGTAGTAGTTAATTTGAAACAATAACATAAATGTAATATTAAATTTGAATAGGTCAGTTATTTACAATTTTTCTTTATTAACAAAGGAAAACAAATTCTCACCCCAGGCTGTGAAATCGCTTAATAGGAAATAGTTAACACACTAGTGTCAGGTGCTTCATTAAAAAAAAAATTAAATATATATATTTATATATATATATATATATATATATATATATATATATATATATATATATATATATATAAATGCAATTGGTGCTAGCATCGCCACACACACACACACTTTTTTCCTATTAAAAAAGCGTGTATTTATTTATTTTTTTAAACTACATATAATTCAAGTGGAAACAAAAGTAAATTAGACATTGTCGCACACCCACTCCAGTCATTGATTTACTTGTATTGAAAATATTTCACTAAACTTGTCTTCCTCTGTATATTATTCAGATGTATGTATCATTGTTTTCTACATCATCACCGACCTCTTCATCCCGTACTTCACTTTCTTCGTCATCGTCGCATGCACCGTCATTATAGGGATCAGACTCAGCAACCGGGCAATAAGGCGGAAATCTGTGTCAAAGTTGGTGACCGTGACCTTGATCTTCAAAGTCTGCCTCCCCCCCCCAGTCCGCCTTCCTGACGGACACAAGTTTCGTGCTCGGGTTGGTGTTTTTCGGCACGAACTCTGACCTCTCGCTCCTGTGTTACTCTGAACTCTGACCTCTCGCTCCTGTGTTACTCTGAACTCTAACCTCTCGTTCCTGTGTTACTCTGAACTCTGACCTCTCGTTCCTGTGTTACTCTGAACTCTGACCTCTCGTTCCTGTGTTACTCTGAACTCTGACCTCTCGTTCCTGTGTTACTCTGAACTCTGACCTCTCGTTCCTGTGTTACTCTGAACTCTGACCTCTCGTTCCTGTGTTACTCTGAACTCTGACCTCTCGCTCCTGTGTTACTCTGAACTCTGACCTCCTATGTTACTGCATATGTTACCTGACGGAGACCATCTCGTCGTCTGTCAACATCGTCGTGTACTACCGCATGAGCGGCAGATGAAATTTCATCTGCCTAGCTGTAACGGTACTGTTCATGATATAGTCTTACAGGTTACTTAAATTCAAAGAAGCATGGTACCCATACATTTTGGTATACTTATCAAGTATGCTTTTACAAAAAATTATTTTGGTGATTTTTTTTAAATATACACAATTTGCGTTTTTTACTGCACTTTTTTTATTTATCGAAAAAAATGAAAAAAAGAGAATTTTTATTTTTAAAAAATGTATATGATGTACTTATTTTCGAAATAAAAAATCAATATTTTCTCTATGTCATGTGTGTTTGTGTTGATTTCAAAAGATTGCGTTTGTGTCATATACAGATATAACCCCTTCAAACATGGCATCTTCTAGGGTGTTTAAAAAAAGTTGTGGTTGGGAGGTGGGGGTTGTTAATATGGATGTCAGATGCGAAATTAAAACTTAAAATATTTACATTTTAAATTTAAAAAAAAAAAAAAAGATTTGGAAAATGCATATAAAACGTAAATTGCAACACTATGGAAAAATGGGAACTCGGGAAATAGAACATGATTTTTAATAAATGTGTAATTACTTAAACCTTTAAAAATAGAATAGAATAATGTAGAAACAATAATTGCGCATCAAGTGAATGGCAAACAATATGTGTACAATCCACTGGTTTAACACGAAAATACGCCAAGCCACGTTTGAGACATCCACCCATGCCAATACACATTCTAATTAAATATTTTAACATTTTGTGTGTTTGTACATCATTTTGAGATAACCCAGCATGTGATGGTTTATCTGGGACAGAGATCTAGGCCAGGGGATTGTAACAGGTCAGCTGTGTCCTAGCAGTGTGTGGGAGGTGGCTGGTTGATTCAGGTGCTCAAAGTGTGACACAATAATAGGTGACTCCACTACTGGTGATACAATCACTGGTGACACAATCACTGGTGATACAATCCCTGGTGACACAAGCAAGTAAAAAAATCTCTGACAATGTCGTTTAGGTGAGTAATTTTAGAGATTTAATTAGTATAATTACATCTTGCGTAAGGCAACTAACATCATCAACAGACAGGAATTAGACTGGAATCCTCAAGGAAAGCGAAAAGTATGTAGGCCAAAACAAATATGGAAAAGGTCAGCTGTAAATGAAGCCGAATCAACTGGACTGTCTTGGCCCCAACTTGGAGGAATCGTCTAGAACCGAGTACGATGGAGAGATGTGGTTGCGTCCCTATGTTCCACGAGGGGTCAGCTGGTATGATGATGATGATGAATTTGTTTAATTTAGGCTGAAAATGTGTTTTGATTTAAAAAAAGTATATATACTTTAGTAGCTAAATCAAAATTCGTATAGAGCATATAGATTTATTTAAACTATGTGTATTTGTTGTTTAGGTGGTCCTATGAATTTACCTGTAATATTAATGTACAGTTAGGTGTCGCTAGGGGGTCGGCGTGGTCGAGTCGGTAACGCTCATGGATGCTAAAACGAAAAGTCTAGAGTTCAAACCCTCGGAAAGATGAGGCTCGGTAGCAACTCTTCTGGAGAGACAACTCCAAAATCAAACAACTGCTACCTTGTAGTTTGTTCTTGGTTGGACAAAGGCCGTGGAAGCAAATCGGAGTCAATGGACTCAATAGCGCTTAACCAGTTGACACATATCATTAATTGTGATGGATGGGAATCCCTTCCAACACTAAAATTAAGAACGAAGAAAAATAAGATGCTGCTACATTACTTACACCCTTCAAGTACTCGATTATTTAATGTACGCACTTAACTTTGACTTAAATCACAAAAGATGAATGAAAGAAATATTATCGACATAATTAATTGGTCGCTTATCAAATCAGTAGCCGACACACAGTTCCCGGTATCACAACCTTGCAATAAAAACAAACACCTGAGTACCAGGGCCTAATTTCATGGCTTTATGTGCTACATACTATTCACGTCATAACACAAAAGGCTTGTTTTTATCTCAGTAACTGTTACAGGTGTAGGTACTTGATTACATGTCGGCAACTGTTTATTACTGTTATCGTCAGATGAAGTGGTCTGGGGCTAGGAAAGTCAGTCTTTACAAAAAAAAAGTTTCGTCTAAAATAGTTTCAAATAAGTGAGATATGTTTCGAACACCATCATTGGTTACCCGAAAATATTAATAATTAAAAATATTAAAAATATGTACTTAATTTCATGAAATAATATTAAAACATAGTTGTTTTTTTTCAACATTGTAGAGTGTGATATCTTCCCGATAAAATCTGTGTAGTGTACCTAAGAAAATATTTTTCTTCTACTGATGTAGATTTGCTCAAGCAGGACAGAGAGGCGCTAGCGGCTTTAGTTTCACGCAGTCTTCTGGTCAAGACGGAACCAACATGGCTGCCGATAGCGGGACCAACATGGCTGCTAATAATAGCAAGAATGACGACGAGGTAGACACCAAGATGGCTGCCGGTGTGTTTACGTGTATTGGAGAGAAGGAAAGCCGAGAACGATTCACGGATTTCACTGTAGTAGTCCAGGACGTCATTTTCAGGTGCCACCGTTTTATTCTGAGCGCGTGTTCCAAGTTTTTTGAAGCTCTGCTTAGAACTGATATGAAGGAGACAAGCGAAGGTACCGTGGCGCTGGGTGGAATGGAACCTGCGACCTTTTCTTTAATCCTCGATGTCTTGTACGCCGGTGCGAACATTTTGACAACAGAGAACATGTTTGTAGTCTGGCACGCTGCCAATCAATTACAGATAGATTTTTTAATCAAGACATGTGAGGAATTTGTGATCAAGAATATGACGTCATCGAACTGCTGGACTGTGTACGATGAAGCCACAAAACTGGACTCAGCCAAAGTGTTACGTGACGTCAGAAAGTATCTGGCCGTGAACTTGGCTGACGTCATTGTCAGTGACAGCATCATGTGTCTGTCACTTGACGACATCATTGGGATTCTCCAACATCAGTCTCGGACTGTCTGCACAGACTTTTCTGTCTTCTGTCTGCTGAGGTGGGCGTGTGCTGAGACAGACTCTATTCGCGTCCTGTTCAAGGCCACACATCCTCATCATGTGATGATGAAACAGAAGTACAATCACCAGGGAACCCAGGAGGTCACGTGTATCCCGCAGCTAAGTCCAGTTGATACGGAGACAGCGGTCTACAGAAGGTCTTGTTTGAGCCAGCTGCTGGACAAGGTTGACCTGACACAAGCCAGCGTTGATTGCCTGACCTATCTCATGACCAACGAGTTTGTGGCTGACCACAGAGACGCCATACTGCGAGTTAACAGAGCGTCAGCCCAGAGATTTGGTGCCGGTGCCCACCCGCATATTGCAACAGTAATTGGTGCCACGTCGACAGGTAGACTGGGCACGTGCAAGCACTGTCAAGGGGGTTTGGTTTATCAGTGATAACAAGGTATTGTTATGTGGGGGGGAGGCGAGTCGAGACTCAACATAATTGTCAGTGTTCGAGGAGGCATGGGTGGTGCTTCTTGTGTCCTGTCTACCTGTGCGTATGTTCGCAGGGATCTTGTCGCTTGTACTACCCAAGTGGCCCGTGTTTATCTATCGGCCTGATTTTCTGACAAACATCTTGACTAAAGAGAAAAAAACTGCGTGACCCACTTCTCTGAGACCAGTGTGTCCAACGTCAACATCTTCAGCTACCTTATGATTAGCGGGAAGTACAAGGAGAGCTTCAATACCCTCATCAAGTTGGGTTCAATCTAGTTTTCATTAAGGAGGCTTTCTACACCGTCTACAAAAAGGGTTAGACATCTAGTTTCCATAGGAGAGTCTGCCATCTCCTCAAGATGGGTTCAATGTAGTTTTTCTTAAGAAAATTTCTGTAACGTCTTTAGTTGTTGTTTTAAGTTTAGATTTAGATTTCTCTATTAATTAAAAAATAATTTCGAAGTAGTTTTATTCTAGAGACGTTTTTGTAACAATTTCACATCTACAATCTAAAACTAGCTTAAGTCTAGTTTATCGCAATCCCATACTAATATTTACAGTTTTTTTTTTACTAACGTTTGTTTTTAAATTTGTGTCACAATTTGAGAACTATTGAGGGAGGGCAGAGTTACCCAACCTGAAAAAACTTACAGGTGACACAAATCTAGGTCCGGGTGTTGTAACACAGCAAATGTATTATGGACGATATGTGACGGAGCTGTTTGGATGATGACGTTCTTGTTACAATTACTGGTGGGTTATACGAGGTAAACACTTAAAATACCTTGCCCTGTTTCTAATGAACAACTCACAAACATATTTAATGAGAGCACATATATCATGAGCCTGATGGGCTGTGTTATTGTTGTCAAAATGAATATGGCCCAGAATGTTGCTGAATATATTCATAGAAAATGCTGCCTTCAGACAAAATGTGTATAGCATTTAGAATGATTTTAGTGGATTTTGACATTTTGTAAAATGTCGCGGTCCATAGAATGGGCACCCATGATTAAATAAAACGAGAGACTATTCTTTTGTTCGTAGCTGTGACACCAGTACATGCATACAGATAAAACGGTCTGTGGCTAGGAAAGTAAGTCTTAAAATCCTTGTTTAGACTAATGAAGTTTTACACTTCCTGAGTGTGATGATCATTCACTGAGGTGTAGTGTGTTTACGGGCTGACACTTAGAGTCAAATAAAAAACAACGAGGCTGCTTGTTTCTGGATCAGCTTATTTATTGCATTCATAGAGTTGTAATTCCAGTACAATTTGAAGTAGATATGGAGATCTATAGCCATGTAATAATGAAAACAAAAATAGATTACACTTTTAATATACAACCACTTATAGGCTATATCAAATACAATGGTGTCGAGGCTAACCAAACCAGCCGCCTCGTCATAAAATAATACAGTAGAAATTTACGGCCAGTATTACAATTTTACATGTAGTTAACTTACTTAACATATCTAGTCTGCAACATGCAGCACTAGTATCTATACAGGCCTATATAATTATCTACGTCGCCCAAACATTGCGGGACACCACCACGCACGATGACTCTCTAACCTTCCGCCTCCCCCCTCGCTCTCCAGGTATGCGCAACAGACACTATCACTATCACTCCCACCCCCACCAGTCTGGTGAGCTGTGGTTCACGCCGAATGTTTACAATCATAGAGTCGGGTCGAATTAGTGACGGCTATTAGGTGCACATAATTTAGTTATTGAATGGTTTGAAACTAAGAGGAGGTACTAGTTCTGCTTGATATTTTCATTGTCGTCTGTAAACTGTCGACACGGACGACTGCTTTCATGGGGGCAGGGGGAGGGTTAGGGAGGGGGGTGGGGTTAGGGAGGTAGAGGATAATCGTCCTTCACGAGCTACTGATAGTGTTTTAAAGCAAAATATTTTCAGTCGCAGCATCGGTAGTGTCGAATTCACAAATAATGAATGACTGAAAAGTAGAAAATAAAACATATATATAAAAACCTGTTACATATATAATTCTCTAAGTCGTTCACCCATGCGGGACACCACGCACGCACGCCGACCCTCTAACCTTACTCTCACCCACTCCCTCGCTCTCCAGTCGTGCGCAACAGAGTGTACCCACCACCCAATTTGGACAACTGTGTCTTTAAAGAAGTTTAAGGTCTCGAGGGGGGGGGGGGGGGGGGGCAGTTCTGAACTCCATTAGCTAGGTAATACTGTAAATAAATAAAAATGTTTGTCATAATGCGCACGCAGTTTGCGATCGCTTATAGTAGAGTGATCGCTTGCATTATTGTGATGTATAGCATTTATTTTCTACTTTTTAGGTCAATCTAAAAAAAAAAAATTTAATGATAATTATTTTGGACAATAACCATGCGCAATGGATAACACTCAAGGAAATAGTTAAGCAAAGAGACTTTTCTTATGTGTTTGAAGCTTTGCCTGTATATCTTTCTCTAGAAAATGTTTATTTATCGATGTTTTAAAACAATCTTATTTGCTTATCAGTGTATGTATTCACATATAATAGCATCTATTTGTATAAAGGTTGGATAAAGTGGTTTGTGTCTGGACGTTAAGCTGTAGTTGTAAGCTGAGGTGTAACTATAAGTTGATTTTTTTTAAATTTTATGTTGACGTATAATTGTAAGTTAAGTTGTAATAATTGTAAATTGAGGAGTAAACGTTTGTAAATTTAAATTACATGAACCACAATAGGATGAAGCAGTTGATAAGATGATTCTTGATAAATGACAAGCAGGACTCTGACACGTGACATGATGGGCACTGACAGATCACATGGTGGACACAGACCAGTTGAACACTGACTAGTTGGACACTGTCCAGATGGATACTGACCAGTTGGATACTGACCAGTTGGATACTGACTAGTTGGATACTGACCAGTTGGATACTGACCAGTTGGATACTGACCAGTTGGATACTGACCAGTTAGACACTAACCAGTTGGACACTGACCAGTTGGATACTGACCAGTTGGATACTGACCAGTTGGATACTGACCAATTGGATACTGACCAGTTGGATACTGACCAGTTGGATACTGACCAGTTGGGTACTGACTAGTTGGACACTGACCAGTTGGATACTGACCAGTTGGATACTGACCAGTTGGGTACTGACTAGTTGGACACTGGCTAGTTGGATACTGACATATTGGATACTGACCAGTTGGACACTAACCAGTTGTACACTGGCTAGTTGGATACTGACCAGTTGGACACTGACCAGTTGGACACTGACTAGTTGGACACTGGCTAGTTGGACACTGACCAGTTGGACACTGACTAATTTTGATAATCACCAGTTACAAGAGAAAATGACATGTGACTAATTTTAGATTTGTATTATAATTTAATTTGTTTTTTACTGTGTTTTATTAGGGTTTGAGTTAGTCTTTAAGAAAAATATGTTGATCGAATGTCAAACTAGAACGAAAGAAAATTAGCTAGTCTACCACGTCATATTAAAAAACCCACTAAAGATAAGTCTCATTTAAACAACAGACTGACAAAAACCCACTTGTAACGAGATTTTAAACTAGTTCCGTTTTCACCATTGCTGTGCTAAGGAGATAACACAAGAATATCTCTAGATGACGTAAAAAGGTCTATTTTTATACAACACTTTGCTTTATGATTGACAAAAAAGTTAAGTGGAAATACACGTGGTATTTTCATGTTTACGTTTTTTTAAAAATGTTATCAGTGTTTTGTATTAGAGGTTTAGGCAGAAGGGCAGAAGTTAGTGTCGGCCTCTTTACACAACACATATATCTGTAAAGTAGAGTCCTGTTGGGAAATATTTTTTAAATGATCTTTTCTTGTTGATAAAAAAGAAATGAACAACTATAGGCCTACAACTTTAAACTCTTGACAACTGTATGTAAGGGAAAAAGATGTTATGTTGTTTGTACATCCACGTGAGGATCAGGTTCTATACAGATTATGTTGAAACAAATCTATCATGTCAAGCAACATAATGGCGAACAATACTAAAACTTGTTAGCATACATATTCATAATTTCTACACACTTGCACTAAACAACTCAGTCAGACTTACACCGACTGGACAGGATTAAGTAATGACAACATGCTAGTCTCTCACCGACAGAAACATGACGTAAGGCCACTGAAACAGAATCTAGGTCACTGAAGAGGACAACATATGACCGTACAGGACAAGTGGCCACTCTACAGGACAACAGGTCACGTGTACAGGACAACAGAGATCATAAAACCAAAGTGTGTAGCATTTAACATTTTAAACACAACATAATTTACACATTAAAAAGCAAACGCCATCAATGTACTTGTCGACAACAATACACAAACAAAGCTAATAAAAAATGATATACACAATTTACTAGTTTTATGTTGTAAATGTCAAACTTATTTGGGTTTTGAGACAGGGGCGGTCTGTGTGCTACATATACCACGTTACAGTTTTTTTTTTGGCAGGAGTTAAATAGAAAAATGGAATTTATCCAGACGATTTGGGTTTTACATTGCTTCCGCATAAACGTCCACTATTTTGTATACAATAGACACGAACTTGTTATATATTAAGCTGTATTTGCATACTTATATTGATAAAAATGTGTGGGCCTATTTCATGAAAACAAACTTCACATCCTCTTTGCGCCTAGACTATTTATCGTGCTATTTTAAACCAACACCACCTCTCTTAAAACATAACCTGAGATTCATCGATAGTCTCACCTTCTGCCCCTACCCAGCTAGTTGTGTCCCATAGCTACAAACATTGGAGTAAAAAGATTTTTAAGTTGGTAGAGCACAGCCAGATGTAAGACATTGATATTTGTAAAGCTATTTTAAATAAATAAAAACGTAAACTATATTTTTACGATCGTTGATGTGAAGCATTTCTATTTTTACTTTCTCGTATATACGAAGTATAGAGAAAGTATTGTAATCGTGCAAAACAAAATCGAGATTTTTACAAATCTCGAAGTTTTACACCTCACTGATACGGAAAAACATAATTTTGTAATCTTGTCCGTATATCTTTGTGTCTGTCTGTGTGCCTCTCTCTGTGTGTGTGTGTGTGTGTGTGTGTGTGTGTGTGTGTGTGTGTGTGTGTGTGTGTAAACACGATAACTTGAGTACAGTTAAAGCTAGATTGATGAAATGTCATATATAAGTATTTTATCAAAATCGTAGATTCGTTTCAACTTCTGAGCGATTTCCGATAATCAGAAGTGATACTCTTCCTACTTTGAATTTTTCAAAAGCCTGTAACTTGAGTACTTTTTCAGATATATAAAGGAAATTTCACATGTAAGTAAAAGAGCAAATTCTCTACCTTCTGTCAAACTTTGCGTAATTTTCCGTTGACCGGAAGTACTAATTTACGCTATTTCCGATTTCTCCAAAAACGCATGTAAATTTATAAAGTACTAATAATTTTTCGCACTATTATGAACATCTTTATTTGGCGTTCACTTGGTGTGCTAATCTTTTTTCTAAAAGATTGTATTCTATTTATAAAAGGTTAAGTATTTAAAATGGATTAAATTCGTGCCTATATTTCGAGTTGCCATCCCCTGTTGTTTCATATAAGAATATTCGAGAAAGTTTAGGGGAGATCACTCCCGGTTTATTTAAATACGTTTTATTTTAAAATTCAAATTGTAGAGGAACAACATGCTAGTTATAAAATATTGTTTAAAATACAAAGTAAACATACATTAAAAATAATAAACTAAATGTTGAATTTACAAGAATAATTAGCTATATCACCCCCCTTTCCGAATAGACTTACAAGAGGTTTACAACTGTAGCACAAACAAGGATGTGTTTTGCTAAATGGTCCACTCCACTTACTGCGTCATTGGTAAAGCCCACTGAGTCAGGCTGTGTGAAAAACCGTTTAAAAAGTCAGCAGCCATTTCTTAGCATTGGTCAACCGTGTACAGCAGACTTAGATAAGGTTTGTCATGTATTCACGTCAGTAGTTTTTGTATTACTCATTTTTCTAATGTATGTATAGCTGGTATAACTAATAACTACACTAGCCTTAAAACTATTAAACTAAAATGCCAGAAATTCAGCCAATATAAAAAAACCTGCAGTTCTAGATCTATAGATATATTGTGTTGTCAGCAAAATAAAGTGTAAGTAGGACTAAACTAAAAATATCACTGTGAAGCCATTAGCCTATAAAATTTATTGCAGAAATTAATGCTCTTTTACTTCACGTCGTTTAGCGGTACACACTGTGGCCTTATTGGCTAGAGCCAGTGCCAGCAACGTATTCGGCCGGCGACTAAGCAACCGGACATCGTAGTCCGGTCTGCAACATTAGACAGTGATGTCATTCTGTAGTTCAATGCTTATGACAGTTCCATAATAAATGTTGTCATTATGTAGTTCTATGCTAATGACAGTTCCATTATATATGTTGTCATTATGTAGTATTATGCTAATGACAGTTCCATAATAAATGTTGTCATTCTGTAGTTCTATGCTAATGACAGTTCCATCATATATGTTGTCATTATGTAGTACTATGCTAATGACAGTTCCATAATAAATGTTGTCATTCTGTAGTTCTATGCTAATGACAGTTCCATCATATATGTTGTCATTATGTAGTTCTATGCTAATAACAGTTCCATCATACATGTTGTCATTCTGTAGTTCTATGCTAATGAAAGTTCCATCATAAATGTTGTCATTCTGTAGTTCTATGCTAATGAAAGTTCCATCATAAATGTTGTCATTCTGTAGTTCTATGCTAATGACAGTTCCATCATACATGTTGTCATTCTGTAGTTCTATGCTAATGAAAGTTCCATCATAAATGTTGTCATTCTGTAGTTGTATGCTAATGACAGTTCCATCATTTATGTTGTCATTCTGTAGTTCTATGCTAATGACAGTTCCATCATTTATGTTGTCATTCTGTAGTTCTATGCTAATGACAGTTCCATCATATATGTTGTCATTCTGTAGTTCTATGCTAATGACAGTTACATCATTTATGTTGTCATTCTGTAGTTCTATGCTAATGACAGTTCCATCATTTATGTTGTCATTCTGTAGTTCTATGATAATAACAGTTCCATCATAAATGATGTCATTCTGTAGTTCTATGCTAATGACAGTTCCATCATAAATGATGTCATTCTGTAGTTGTATGCTAATGACAGTTCCATCATTAATTATGTCATTCTGTAGTTCTATGCTAATAACAGTTCCATCATACATGTTGTCATTCTGTAGTTCTATGCTAATGACAGTTCCATCATAAATGATGTCATTCTGTAGTTGTATGCTAATGACAGTTCCATCATTAATTATGTCATTCTGTAGTTCTATTTTATTTCTCTCTTCAGAGCTTGAAGGATCTTCCATAGTGGTGTGTGTTGTCTGATGGCTTTAAGTCAAGTGGGGAGTTCAAAGGTCAGTTTCACTCTATCTGGTATGTTGGTCAAGACTATGATTATTTTTTTATTATTCTCTAAAGCTAACCATCATGCTGTATTTTGTGTGCCATATCATTGACCAGTGTCTAGGGTTATGTAGTTTGTAAAGAAACACTGGTTGATGACTAGTCAAGCTACCATATAAACTTCTTTCTTTAAAAAGTCAAAATATTTATAACAATTACAGAGTGACAGCTGCTGAATGTGATGTGAAGGTCAAGGTTATTTCAATCAAACAGTTGCCACAGATGACCATAAGACTACAGTAATGGCCAGTAGATATCTGTCACATAAAGCTACAGGTAAGTTTGTTAATTATCTTTTAACTTAATCAAGTGTACAGCCATGGTTTCGTGCTGATGTAGACAATGTGTCAAATCTTTGTGTTGTGGTTTATTTAACATGAATTAAGTTGGATAATCTAGATGACCACAACAGTATGGCCAGTGGAGAGGATAGTCTAGATGACCACAACAGTATGGCCAGTGAAGAAGACATCTCAACATATTTTAGAGGTAATGTCCATTTGTTTGTGAAAAAGTGGTCCTAAAAAACATCTACCTGCATGCTTAAAATGTTGTGTGCTGGTGAAGTCCTTATGTTGGAACATTCTGTTGTTTGAAATGTTTACTGGATGGTTATCTTAAGATGGTGAAGGTTGAGATGGTTGTGGCAATTGGAGGCTGTAGATAGTTTTCATGTTTTATGTTTGTCAAAGTTTAACAGCTAATGAAATGATTACATTAGTAACATTGTTTTGAATACCTGCACATGTACACATGAAGTACACGAATGTCTTGAAGGTCAAGGTGAGATAGATCTACACACACACTTGGCAAACTGCAAGAAAAATCCTGGCCATAAAAATTTTGTACCTGTTAATCAGTTAAGTCTTGAACATTTTCCTTCTGGTTACCGTGACAACGATGTGCGTAACTTCACAAAAGCGCTGGCTGACATAACTGTAAGGATAGCCGTTAAGTTCACCAGTCCAGACAGACCAGAGTTTGTACCAGGCACTAAAGATCCATATCCTTGTTACAACACCAGGGGACAGAACTCACTGCATACAGGGACTGGGAAGGTGTGGGCAGTGTACAAGTACACAGAGGGGATGGTCCAGTTAAAGCCTCCCTACAGAACTTGTCCATGTCCTGAATGTGACCACTCTGACACACCCAGCAAAGTGTGGTGGAGGGTTGGTGTGAAGACAGCCAAACATGTGGTTTTTGATTCAAGTGAGGCGAGACAGTCCAGCTGTAGGTTATGGTTTGATGATGATAAAAGTCCAGTGGTCAAGATTTATGGGTGGAGGTTGGGTGATCTAGACCCCACTGAGAAAGACACGTGTTGGTTCGATTGTGTGACACATGACGTAGATGTAGCTGAAAAACTGAAGGAGATGAGGAGGCGGTTTGATGATCGATGTAAAGTAATGGACAAATACAAGAGTCGTAGAGATGTGGACAAGCTGACCATTATAGTGTCACATCCTCATGGCTGTTCTAAGCAGGTCTCTGTAGGTCACTGGGTACACAGGCAGAGGTCGGGGTATATAGAGACCAAGTACACGTACACAACTTGTACATGTCCAGGTAGCAGTGGGGCTTGGGTCTACATACTGGGGTATGTCTTGTCTGAACATCCCCACAGTGGAGTAAACTCTGGTGGATTAAATTATAGTGGGGTGGACACGGACTCGCGATGTGTTATTTTGTACTGAATGTAAACAAACATGGCGTCTGTTGGTTGTTTCTCTTTTCTAAAATGTAAACAAATATTGCGCTTGAATGATGTCTGCCCTTAAAATATTTCTTGACATTATTGTAGAGTCTTATTACGCTTTAAATTTATTTTCTCTTTATTTTATCAGAGAAAAAGTTGTTGATTCTTTGTTAGGAAGTGAGGAAAAAAATGTGTCGCAAATTTCTTGTAAAATTATATACGTAAAAAAATAAATCATCTCGTTTTCTTTTTCCTTTTTGTTTGTTTGAATCTAAGTATTCTCAAAATTGACGCTAAAGTTTGGATCTATAAAATTTAATAGCGAATTAAAAATGTATTCAATTTCACATATTTTCGTTATTTCTATAGCAACCTTAACTTCTAATTGCGTCTTTCTGCTATTTTGTTCTATTAAGAAAATTATATTAATATATGGATACATCAAAAACCATTAAACATATTAAAGAAAAACAATTTTTTATGTCCTGTCTGTTTTAAATTCAAGTTTATTTCGATGACTCAAAAATATATGGCTTATCTATTTCTATTAGATTTCTCGGCCTAAAACTAACACTTAAGTAAAAACACATGTTTAATACCTAGTAGATTATATATGACTTAATACTTAGTAGATCGTCTATGACTACCTGCCAGTGTGTATAAAACGTTTCTTGATAAAATTAGTCGATAACAGGATTTGTATGGATATCCCACTTGATTCCTTTGTATAACGGAAATAAAGCTATCATTGTAACTTGTTTTATCATCAGAGGAGATGAATATATTTTACGATCTATTTCAGCGTGTTGTAGGGCTAGCCTCATTATCCGGGCTGTGTGTTTTAGTTTAAACATATTTAATAACGTCAGGGTAAAGGGATTTAGGAGATTGATCTGTTGTCTGAGCAAAAGTTGTGAATATAATATATTTAACGATTCATGAATATGTGACCAAAGTATCAAAGAGATGATGTTCAGCTTACGGTTTGTTTTATCTTTACACAATTTAATGAAATAGTGAACATCAGAATGGTTGCCCCCAATGTATTAACATTGCTTCACTTGTCTTATTTAACTATAACATACATTGATATGTCTGTTTTAAGTGTAATAAAAATGTTTGATAAATCAATCTCATCAGCAAATGTTGGTGTCAGAGAGAATAATATTGTTCAGTAATTTTGTTCAGAGCGCCGAGTTTTCCTGTAATTGTTTTCAATGTGTGAGGATACTAACACAGTATTTTTCAGTTCAATATCAACTGTTTGTGTTAGTCTTAATAGAACATTATTTGCCTTTCTTTAGCCAGCTATGGAGAGTTTACGGTTGTACCACAGATTTTATTCAAATGCTTTGACTGAAAAAAAAAATTAGACGCAAATATATCCAAGTTAGCAAGGATTAAAAAAAATATATCGCTTGTTAAAAATATGTACTTTATACAGTTCAAAGTAGCATAGAGTAAAATATTAAATTGTATTTACATTTTAGCTTACATAAAAATTACATTAATATTTGAGTAGTGATATTCGAACATTTTTGATGATGATTTTAAATACTTCTTTATTTAAAGCGCTTTTATCGTGCATGGTTAGTGGTTTATGTCCCCTTGATTTTCTTATTAGTCTCGATCAGGTTCAGGTTAATATTAGCAACGAGCCGACCCGCGGCGTATCGTACGCCGCTATTTAGTTGTTTTTTTTCTACTTTTCAGTAATTCATAATTTGTGAATTCGACAGTACCAATGCTGCCACTGAAAATATCTGCTTTAAAACACTACCCCCCCCCCTTTTCCCCAACCCCTATCCTACACCCCCCCCCCCCGTGAAAGCAGCCTCCTCTTAGTTACCTCCTCTAAGTTTAAAATCATTTCAAACTAAATTATGTGCCTCTAATAGCCGTCACTAAACCCGGCTTTACAAATGTAAACACTTAGCGTGAACCACAGATCACCAGACCAAGGGGAGGGGGACTGCAAGGCGCGCTTGCAGCTTCTTTTCTAGCGTCTCCAAGAAGAGAATTATATTTATAGATTCGCGCAATAGTAGTTTAAAGGAACTCTACATTAAAATATTACAATCATATCAATACACATTTACTAATATATCTGTGTATTTTAATATACATTTCTATGCACACGTCTAGGATTGGAAATGTTGCCGTAAGACATGAACCATATCCTTATCGAAGGCAATTATTTTGTTGAAACAGCTCGGATCATAGCGGCTGCTTTTTATAAAATATACGCAAGCCATCATCTTCACACTGTTACAGTAGTCAAATTGTTACAGCTAAACTAGTTCTAAGGTTGACTGTAGCTACGTGTAGGCCCTACAGTTAAAACACGAACAACAATAAATGTAAGTTTTGTTTTGTATGAGTTTATTTTGTTTAATACTGACTTACGTATTTTCACAAAACATATATTATGCAAACTATTAATATATGTATATATTTAAAGCTGCTATATTTTGTAATGATTATATTTAATATATATGAGCTAATTAAATATGTGATTTTATAAGACGATTGCATAGGAAAGCTATAAGAGCATGCGTGTATCGGTTAAGCCAAACATACACATTTGTGTGATTTATTAATAGTGTAAACCAGGGGTCTCCAAACTTTCCAGTCCGAGGGCCGCATTAACTATCAAATTTCAATTCTGGGGCCAGTTTCTCCCAGGCATGTCGTGATTTTTCTGAGCAAAGTTCCTCAGCCATCACCAACAAACGTTTTTTCCGTGGACAAAAAGATATCCGCGGGCCGGATGAGAGGACTTCGCGGGCCGCATTCGGCCCGCGGGCCGTAGTTTGGAGACCCCTGGTGTAAACAATGGAAGATGCACGTGGATCAAAATTAGGACACATTCTGCGGATATAAAACGGCGATGGAAATGTTGGAGGAGCTGTAATAGGCAAGAAACAATGCATGAAAAAAAAAACTATCTTACCCGTCCCGCGCTTTATCATTGTCTTAAAAACTTGATTAAGATTATTTCATCAATTCTTTACAAGTAGTCTATTTTTGTAAGCTGTAATCTTGTTTTCTGAAGCTGAATTAGTGAAGTATTAACATGGCCGGCGCTATACTGGATCTTAGATGTTGGGGTGTGGGTTTGTTCACACTCCCGCCCAGACATACGTGTTGTAAGGATAATTAACCACAATCATATGCATATTTTATAACATACCTATAAAGCGAACTAGGCGGTCGCATATTGCGCTGTCCGTAGGGGGCGCCAAAATGGTTAGGTTAACAGATGTAATGAGAAACACTAACGATTAATGCCCCTGCTATTTTCTAACTATTGAATAGGAAGCTACTACACTATAAAATGTTGCATTAGTTTGGCAATCGGTGAGTTACGTCCACATTAATTGTAAATTACATTTGTATCACTATTTATGAACATGTGGACTAATTGCAATTAATGTTTTAAATAAATGAATTTGAAGTAACAATAATTTATAACATTGCATTGTTATGACATTTGTTAGGTAACAATATCAAAACAAATCAGTTAAGCAGAACGGCGGTAAACACGCTAGTAACAACACGTTCAAGTCACAGTGATTTT